GGGGGTGGTTGGGTTAGGTAGGGTTCTGATGGTTAATAGCTGACAAAGCTTACTAAAGAAGTAGCTACCTTCGCATCCCAGTCCGTACACTGTAACTTAAAAAAAACATATTGGGTTAGGAAAAATATGATTTAATCTGTGTGATTCTTGTGTTGTAGGAAAAAGATAATAATAATGATAATAAGTGAAGTTATAACATTAAATTACGATGTTCAGATGATTCAGTTAACGAAAGATTTTTAGTTATGCCAAACTGTCTGAGGGCCGATTGAAGGTGAATGCTTCTTATGTGTTTCATTTATACGTTTCATGTTTTTGATTGATGTAAAACTTTACGTGATTTGTCTATTGTTTTTCTTGTCTACTTGTTGTTTGCAGTGACAGAGCAATTCCTTCTTCGAATATTGACTTACATTTCGTTCATTGCTATCGGAATCTGGAAAAATGTAAAGTATGTGGTGATATGGTTCCGAAACAATTCGTGGAGGAACATTTTCTAAGCACACATGCTCCGGTAACAAATTTTATGTCTGCTGCTAAACTACAAAACTTGCTTATAAGAATAACTATTGACTTGTAATAGCATTGTGTGATTTAATTCTCGGAAGTCCTGTTTTCATATATTCTTGTTTGTGCATCAGTTGCTACAAAATATGGCTTTATTTTACACAAACCTAGACTTGACTTTTGGTGCGTGTAATGGGTTTCTATATGCACGTTTGACTTGAGTAGTGAATTTATACAATACATAAGCTCGATTCAGTGTAGCATCGCAGAAGTTTAGGCATAGAAAGAAAAACCCTAGGTGGTTCCAATACGTCATTTGAATTTTGTTAAATTAGAAGAACGAAAATACGAGAACCATGTAATTCCTATGTTTCAGCTTAATTAATTGTTGCCTCAAGCTAAATGGGGATTTATACATTATGACAAATGAAAATAAAAGAAGATGTATATAATTAAAATATTGCTAATTTTTTCAGCCATATTCTATGTGGTAATTCATATCATATAATATGGTCCTAGCTTGTTACATATATATATATATATATATATATATATATATATATATATATATATATATATATATATATATATATATATATATATATATATATATATATATATATATATATATATATATATATATATGAATTGGCAAAACTAGTCGTAATGCAGCATTATGTAATTCATAGAATTTGATGCTCTCATTATCACCAGCTCGTAATTAGTAATAACGTACGTCACTTGAATTAGCAAAAAACTCAAATCACATATATTTACAACTAGCATACGTAATCTTCTCGCTACACTTCTACATTCTTTTATTGTTTGCGTCATCTTATTCACCAATTTTTATTTGGTAATGCAGACATAATACATTTTTTTTTATCCACCTATTCTTAGGTATCGATCAATTCTTCGTTTCACTTTTTGTAAGTTGATCTTTATGTTTTGTGACTCCAATATTTGGCAGGTGTCTTGTTCCTTGTGCAGCGAGACGATGGATCGTGAGATATTAGATGTCCACAAAGGAGAAAATTGCCCGCAGAGGATTGTGACATGTGAATACTGCGAGTTTCCATTGCCTGCTGTTGATTTATTGGAGCATCAGGTAAAATTTCCTCTGGTAATTTGTTAGGATTACCCCAAGGTTTAGTTGTGTATTACGATTTTTTTTTTCTTTTTTATATTTTATTTTATTTATTTATTTATTTTTTCTTATGTTTGTTTCTATTTTGCAAATTGAACCAATTATGCATCTTTCTTGGCTAAAACTATACCGAACCATTTTCCGAAAATTTTGTTGAACCAATGTGAACCGAATTGTCCACATTATTCTCAAATTCTAGTTCTTATGTCTCAAATATCCATCAGCAGTTCAAAATACGTATCTGAATTTATGGAAAAGCTCAAGCTAATTACCAAATTCAATTTTCAGTTTGGTATTCGGTCGATGCCAAATTTACGGCGGCGTTACACGTCTGTTTATCATATTCTGCACACCTCTAGTATGAATTTGTAAAACAAATACATAGTCTCTGTGGTACTAGAGGAAGTGGTGTGTAATTAGACCAAACCTGAAGAAACTGCAGTATTTATTATTATGATAGTATAGCTTGTTTGTGGCATGTAATTTCGTTGGTTATTCCAGGAAGTATGCGGGAACCGGACGGAATTATGTCATGCATGCAATAAATATATTAGACTTCGAGAGAGTTATGGCCATGAAAGTAGATGCACTGCCTCCTCCGTAAATAACATTGCAGAATCCTCAAGGTGAGTGCAACTCACAACTTTTATTGTAGTCAGTCAGCTTTACGTATCTTTCCTTACCGATATATAAAAAGTGGTTTTAAAATGATAAATTTGAAGGAATGCGAGGGCACCACCTGAAAGGGCGGCGGCTGCTGGCGGCGGCGGAGGTGGTCGAAGACGGCGGGATGTGTCACAAAGACGACTGCTGTTTACTATTGCGATTACGGGGATTGCTGTTCTCTTAGGTTCTCTTTTCTTCCAGAGGAAACCAGAACCTACTCAACCCAACTGACTCATATCATCATACATACATTTTCTTTTTCCTGCCATGTTTATACTTGTCATCTTGTTTGGATGGAAAAATCATCGCGCCATGAATTGATGTTCATTTTGGTAAATATGAACCCATAATTAAGTCCTTTGTCAGGGGCCTCTTTGACATTAACCCATAATTTTACCAGATGACATGTATTATTACCACATTATTCAACAAAAACAATTAATTTTATTTATTTTGCAATCCCGCGGTAGATAACAGTAATCATCCAACCTAATCTATAAAAGATCATCTTGTGAACTTGGTCAAATTACCACGCCGATTAGAATGAAAGGTAATTAACCCTATATTTCAATACTTGTACGTTCGGTTTACAGTATTAACTTTTCTTTTAACAAAGATTTTTACCACCTAATACTTTTTTTTTTTTTTACTTTTGATTAATATCACTTATTCTAATTTGCACTCCATTGTTTTTTAATAAGAATATTTTCAACATATCTGTTTTCTATCTCCAGTCCATCCTTTTACATTCATTTTACCATAAAATAAAATATAATATTGTAAAATAAACAATCAATAATCTCTATTTGTTTTTCCTTAACAATTTGATTTCCATAATTAAGATACCTCATCAGCAAAATTTACTCAGATCTTAACAAACTTTTGACCTTGTAATATTGTAATTTAACTACTTGTTGACTTACTTTATTAAAAGTGTTGCAGCAGAATCTGAAGTTTTTATCTTTACAATCAACTTTGCCACTCTTAAAAGCTAATACCAAATCCACCAAACACTACTAGTAGTGGATATTGCTAAAACTTAAATTATAATTTTTTTAATTAATTGAAAAGTGGTTTTCTTTCTTTCTTGTTAAGGGAAGGAAAAATAAAAAAACTCTCTCTATAAATATATGTATGTGTATTTCCTTTATATGTTTGTATGGTTGGTAATAATAGAAAAACCTTTCAAATTTGCTTTTTTTTTTTCACCGTGGAGATTGACTGCATATAGGTAAGAAATGTATGAAAAAATAAGATAAAATAAAATTATCCCTTGCATAATTACAGGGCTTGAGAATTTGCCTTAACAAAGTGTGGCATTATTTATGGTGTAAACCGTGGTCGTAATTTTGTTGTTCAGGAATCGTTGGAAACATGCCGCCTATCGGGGTCCGTTTGAACGTCCAAGAACATCATGTAAATCATATATATATATCCATATATTCTCCGTACGTCAATATTTGAAACTATATAAATCGCGCATTAATTGATGTCACATTTCAGGTGGTGATAGATAATGGCATAGTCGAAGTCGCATTATCAAATCCAGAGGGAATCGTCACTGGAATACGTTACAACGGTGTCGACAATTTGCTAGAAGTTCTCAACGACGAGACTAATAGAGGGTTCGTACGTAAACATTATATTTTGAATTTTAGACTATATATTATTAATTAGGTGAACAAATAAAAATAACTATATGAAGAAATATGCCGCAGGTACTGGGATGTTGTGTGGAATGCGATAGATGGAAGTGGGAAAGTAGCAGGGGGAGTCTTTGAAGTGTATGTTCTTGTCTCTGTATTTATAATGCGGTTTTGATTTTTTTAATGTTTATATGATAATTATTTAGAAACAACGCATTGATTGTTTCACCGTACGTATGTGTAATCAAATATAGGATCAAAGCAACAAAGTTTGAGGTTATAACAGAAAGCGAGGAAAAAGTAGAGGTGTCGTTCTCAAGACCGTGGGATCCCTCTCTCGAGAATAAGCTCGTTCCCTTAAATATAGACAAAAGGTTCTCATTTCTTCGTTGTTTCACAACAAACGCTGATATATTGACATAATATATAAATAGTCCGCGTGTAATGATGTTAGTTTATATTGGTGTAGGTTCGTTGTGGTACGGGGTTGCTCGGGATTGTATTCGTATGCAGTATATGAACATGTTGGTTCACCGGAGTGGCCAGCTTTCAACCTCGGTGAGACAAGGATTGCATTCAAACTTCGAAAAGACAGGTACATGCCTCATATGTATTGGAGATATTAATATTAAATGATACATTTCACTAACAGTTTAAACTTTTGGTTGAGATGGTCATTCAACATGGTATTAGAGCCAGACTAAATAAAAAAGGTCATGAGTTCAAATACACAGTCACCTATTTCAAATATTTCAAGTGCAAAATCCCCGAACTTTATAAAAATAATTCCCATACCCGTCCCATAAAATCCCCATCTATTTTTTTTTCTTTTTCTTTTTAATAAATAAATATGCAATCTACTTACAATCTATTTTTTTTAATAAATATGCAATCTACTTATAATTTAAGGACTTATATCAACAAACAAACCAATTTAATTATAGTACTACTATTTAATTATAACACCGAAACCTAAAAATCCCCGTTTGTAGCTAATATTTAATATATTACAACTATTTATTATTTATATTTAATATAATAATTAATTATTTTATAGCCGATAAGAAAAAATATCAATCCCAATACCCGCCTCATTTTTTTTCGGGGCGGGTAATACCTGAAAATTTCGAGGCGGGTCGGGGTGGGGATCCATTGGGGCGGGCCAAATTGCCATCCCTAGTTCAAATTTAATTCGTATGCATTTGATGGGGCAGTATTGGATTATATTAATATTAAAAGATACATTTTACTAACAACTTAATCTTTTGGTCAAGATGGTCATTCAACAATATAAATATATTGATATGATACGATGGATCATATATAATGCAATGTAAGTGTTTTGTAGGTTTCAGTATATGGCTGTGGCAGATAATAGACAAAGATATATGCCCCTACCAGATGACAGATTACCTGGAAGAGGCCAGCCTCTTGCATACCCTGAGGCTGTTCTCCTAGTCAATCCTGTCGACCCTCGTCTTAGAGGAGAAGTACGTACTCGTCATGAGTTTCGTATATATACGTATATATCGTTCATTTTTTTTTCCATTAATGTTGTAAATAATAATAATTATGATTATATATAGGTCGATGACAAGTACCAATATTCGTGTGATAACAAAGATATTAAGGTCCACGGGTGGATTTCTATGAACCCTCAACCGGCAGTTGGATTCTGGCAAATCACACCGAGTGATGAGTTCCGCTCGGGCGGACCCCTCAAACAAAATCTGACCTCCCATGTGGGACCTACATCACTTTCAGTAAGCAGTTAACTCTATATAGAGACAATATGTAGAACGGACGCATAAACAATATTACTAGTTGTAATTTCTCGTGCATATGCATGCAGGTTTTTCTGAGTGCTCACTACGCCGGAGATGATTTGGTTCCAAAATTTGGGAAAGGAGAGGCATGGAAGAAAGTTTTTGGCCCTGTTTTTATCTATCTTAACTCTGCCATGGATGGAGAGGATCCACTTACCTTATGGGATGATGCCAAACGACAGGTTTACGTTTAACACTACATTATATATAAACGGCATATTGCATCTCTTAATTAACTCGTTACACATGTTAATTACCAACATTATACTATCAAAAAATATCATTCATCAGATGTTGGTTCAAGTCGAAAGTTGGCCTTATAGTTTTCTAGCATCAGAGGATTTCCAATCGGCAAACGAAAGGGGTAATCTCAGCGGCAAACTATTGGTCTCAGACAGGTGACGACATTTTCTACTCCATTTATAATTTGGTTTATAGGAAAGACGAATACATACACTACTTGTGTGCTTACTAATTTAATTGTATTTATAGATATGTTAGTGGTGATTATATACCAGCAAGCGGCGCATATGTAGGATTGGCGCCCCCCGGGGATGTTGGATCCTGGCAAAGAGAATGCAAGGTATTTGTCTTGGAATATTCCCGTCAAAACTTCTCTCAATGCCATGAGTTTATTTTATCTACAAAAAAAATAAAATAAAATGCACCGAGGTAATTGTTTGTGATGGCATCTGTCACAACTAGGGGTGGTAAACGAGCCGAGCCGGCTCGCGAACTCGACGAGCCGGCTCGAAAAAAGCTCGAACTCGAGCTCGAGCTCGAGCTTCGGACGAGCTCGAGCTCGAGCCCAAAATTAGTTGTTCGGCAGCTCGCGAGCCGGCTCGCGAGCTGCCTTCTTAATTTTTTTTTTTTTTTTTTTTCTTTTTTTCTTTTTACATTTATATATATATATATATATATATATATATATATATATATATATATATATATATATTTATATATATATTATTATTATTATTATTATTATTATTATTATTATTATTATTATTATTATTATTAACTAAATAGTAAATAGTCTATAATAATAAATATATCTAGTATTTAAATAGAAACAAATCTATATTACTTAAATAATTCATAATAATATAAAATATAATAATAATAATAATAATAATAATAATAATAGAAAAAATAAAAAATATATATAACTAGAGTTCATTATTTATTTTATAATTTTTTTTTATTTTCCTATGAATATTTTTTAATAAAAAATAAAATGATTTTAATAAAAAATTAAATAATAATAATAATAAAAAAAAAAAATTAATTATAAGCTCGAGCCAAAAATAATTGGCTCGATGAGCTCGAGCTCGAGCTCGAGCTCGGCAACATGGACTCGAGCTCGAGCTCGAGCTGGCCAAAAGAGCCGAGCTCAGCTCGAGCTCGGCTCGTTCCCACCCCTAGTCACAACCATGAATGACGGAGTATGGACGGAAAAAAATTGTTTGTGACGGAATTTTGGGCTAAAAATTGACGGATGGATGACAACAATAATTTGTTGTGACGGCATCCGTCAAAAAGTTAGAGACCTTGTATATGGTATTGGTGATGGAATTAATTGTGTTTCGTGACGATGCTATCCGTGATAACAGATGTGACGGAATTAAATTATCCGTCACCAATGTCATTAGTGACGATCGGGTTTTTCTGACATACCTATTCGGTTACAATTCCGTCACAAAAGCTTATTTGTGACTGATTTTGTTCAATTTTGTCACGAAAATGCCCGTCACAAAAGCCCTGTTTTTTGGTAGTGATGCATGTTCGTTGATCCCATGCTTCTCTATGAAATTACTTAAACGAGCGAATGAAATAATTAACCATACTATATATGATTAGGGTTACCAATTTTGGACAAGAGCAGATGAGATGGGGTATTTTACCATCAACAATGTCCGAAGCGGTAACTACAACCTTAATGCATGGGTACCCGGCTTCATCGGAGACTATCAAAACGAAGTTGCCATTACCATAACCTCAGGTCTTGATTATAATAATTTTGAATATGTTATATATTCTACTTACACATTCGAATATATATATATATGACCAAATATTGATTAGGTTGTGGAATTTACATGGGTGAAATTGTGTATGAGCCTCCAAGAGATGGCCCCACACTTTGGGAGATCGGCATCCCCGACCGCTCTGCTGCCGAGTACTATGTTCCTGATCCCGACCCTAAATATATTAACAAGCTTTACTTAAATCACCCGGACAGGTAGTTAGTACATGCGTGTATTCATGCCGATTATATATTATGTTCCTTTTTCTTGTTTTATGTTTCATTTGCGTAGATTTGTTGAATAATTAAGCGTAATTACAACCACCTTCCTGAGCTTTGGTTAATTTACGAAAAAATCCCTCTTGTTTGGATAATTACATCTACCCCTCAGCTATGATTTTTTCTTACACCTCCACCATTATGGTGTCAAATTCAACATAATCATCTAGATTTTGTGAAATCTGCTCTAGTTTGTACTCGTTTTATGTAAAAATATAGTTTCTAATGCACCACAATCTGATGTATACAAACTTAAAAACATATATTATGATCATCTTGCTCCAAAATGTGGAGTTCGAATATGATAAAACGGGTACAAAAGTGATAATTATTCATATAATCTCGAAAATTCCACTAAATTTGAAACCGCAAGGGTGGACGTGTACAAAGATTTATAGTTGAGGGGGTGGTTGTAATTATCCTAACATAAGTATTTTATAATTTGACCATACCTCAGGGGTGATTGTAATTTACCCAATAATTAATATTATTGAGTAAGCCTATTTAATTTCATGAACAGATTTAGGCAGTATGGACTATGGGATAGATACGCAGAGTTATATCCTCATGAAGACTTAGTTTACACAGTTGGCAAGAGTGACTACACCAAAGATTGGTTCTTTGCTCAGGTTAACAGGTCCTCATATATTCTCTCTCTCTCTCTCTCTCTCTCTCTCTCTCTCTCTCTCTCTCTCTCTCTCTCTCTCTCTCTCTCTCTCTCTCTCTTGCATGTCTTTGAATGTATCACATTTTTTGTTACTCATAATTAAAGGAAAAAAGAGGACAACACATATCAAGGGACAACTTGGCAAATCAAATTCACACTCGAAAATCTCAATCGAAATGGAATTTATAAACTGCGTGTGGCGCTTGCATCTGCATCTCTAGCAGAATTGCAGGTAAAGAAAAAAAAAAGCACCACATAATCACTTTTTCTTTGCATGTTCAATTTTCACATTTATATATCCAAAACCGTAACGGACGACGTACATTTTCTAGGTCCGTGTTAATAATCCAAAGGCGAATCGACCGTTGTTTTCAAGTGGATTGATAGGGAGGGATAACTCAATTGCAAGGCATGGCATTCATGGCCTACATTGGCTTTACAATATAGAAATAAATGGTGATTTGCTTGTCGAAGGTGATAACACCATATATTTAAGTCAACCAAGGAGTCAAAGTCCTTTCCAAGGGCTCATGTATGATTACATTCGACTTGAAGCACCCGGAGATTTTAATTAATAAGGTGTGCCAATAATAAAATAAGAAAAATTGCTTGGGGTTAATTAATCAATATTTTATTTTGTGGAAAATAGTTTTCATGATGACCTCTTCTCCACTCATATTCATATCCTTAACAAATCATTACATATACGTTTTGTCATGCACAAGTGATTAGTTGTTTATAAATATGACTAGTTAATTATTAAAAGAATATTAAAAGAAATTGAACGGTTTATTTCTAGTTTCTAACTTTTCGATTCAAATATTAAAAGAAAGGTGCCGGGTTATATGTAAGCCCATTTTTTTATTAGTTCAAAACCACATAAAGAAGTTTATTAGTTCAAGCCCGTAAATTAATCTAATTTTATTACATCAAGACCAAAGATGACAAATATACCCTTATCCACAAATAATACTCAAATACAAAAAAAATCTTATTTTTAATTTGTTCAAGACCAAAAATCAAAAAAAAAACAAAAAAAAAAAAAAAAATATCACGACTGCCAACCACCGACGCCAACCAACGAGACTTCCACCGCACCGGCGATGACCAGCGACCCACCCACCGCACCATTACCACCACCGCACCACCACCAACAAGTAAGTCCATTTTACTAAACTTTTGTTTGTAAATTCGAAAACATTAATCGAGCATCGATGTCCTTTTGACTAAATTTTTATTTGTAAATTCGAAAACATTAATCGAACATCAATTCTAGATAAATATGTATGAATGAACATTAATCTATGCTTATTTCTTGTTGGGTTGCAATGATTTGGCCGATTTTGGAAAAAAAATTGAGATTGAAATTGGGTTTTTTTTTCGTTGGTTTCCCAAATCGGTTTATCCAGACCGATTTTGTACACGAAAATCGGCGTCATAATGCCGATTTTTGTTAACCAAATCGGCGATACAACGTCGACTTTACAAGTCAAAATCGGCGTTCTAATGTCGATTATTGAGTACAAAATCGGTTTTCGAATACCGATATTTTTTGATTTTTTTTAAATAATACATTATATATTTGGTTAATTGATATTTTTTAAATATTTGAAACGAAAATGTTTATCCCCATTCGGTGGCGTCTACCACTCCTTTAACCCAACCGAGTAGAGCTTTCCGTATCTCAAATATTTATTCGTTAGATAATTCATTTGAATAATCCTCCATCAATCCCCTAGGTTGATGCATGAAAGTATGAGAAAACGGTCTTAAAAAGACACATATAATAAAATCGGTATCTAAAAACCGATTTTTGTAGTACAAGTCGGCATGACAATACCGATAATACAAAAACAAATCGGTGTTGTCATGCCGATTTTTACTACAAAAATCGGTTTTTAAGTACCGATTTTTGTTAAAATAATCGGAATGTGGTTAGCGACTTTAGTAACAAAAATCGGTATTTGCAGACCGATTTTTGGTATCGTCGATTTTTTTCCCCAACAAAAAAAAAAAAAACGACCCAAAAGCAAAAATAAACGGTTAAAACATATTTCATTGTGTTCTCCACCCTCGTAAACCACCATATCATTGTTTTCTGGTTCCATCGTGAATGTTTGGTATGTATTTGATAATTTTGGTGTGTAGGATTTCTTGGTGGGTTTGTGAAGAAGAAGGAGAAGAAGAAGGAGAGTTTTAAGTCGTAAAATAAGGAAGATGAGTTTCTGAATTTATGTATTTTATTTGGTCTTGCACAAAGGAAATAATTTTTTTTTTTATTTTTTAATGTTTTGTGTTTTTTATTTGATTTTAAATTTCATTAAGGGTAAATTAGTATTTTTATGTTGGAGGTCTTGAACTAATAAAAACATAGGCTTGCATATAACCGCCGCCTAAAAGAAATTCAATTTGACATAATTCTATCATTTGTTTACGATTTAGTGTAATTTTATACGTATTTTGAAATTGAATCAATTTTTTAAGCTTCAAAATATAATTTATTATGAGATTTACATTTATTTGAAAAGAAATCATATCAATAGAAATGATTATAAAATATAATAAAATAAGAAAAGGGATAATTACACTTTTTGTCCTATACTTTTTTCCGTCCACTTATTCGCTTTTCATTTCTAAATAAGTTGGAGTGATATTATCCATCCCTAGACATGCCAAATTTTATGCTACTTTTGCCCCTCGTCAATTTAGCTGGTTAGTTTGGATGGAAAATAACATGTGCTTCACACATGATACGCAAGAGTCAACCCCCCTCTTCAACTTCAGGTTGCATCTTGATTATAAAGTAAGCCTTATTTTCCAAATCACTTATGTTTTCTATAATACACCTCTTTGAACTCGTAAATTGCCTTGATATAATCCCCTAAACACATTTTTTTTCTATCATACACATATGATGCAATGCAATTTGTACTTTGCATGATATGTTTCTTTGAAGAGAAGATGTTAATTAATATATTTCGGTATGTTTAATGAAATTTATAACATGTTAAGCTACTCAACAAGAATTCTTTGTTTTGTTACATAATGAAGATTTGCACGATTTGCAATTCTATAAACTTTAATTTAAATTTCCTGCCCTTACAAGTCATTATCTTCATATTGGAAGAAAACCTAATTGATGTTAACTACTCATTTAAAAAAACAAAATTCCTGACCGGTGTAGGGATATTAATCCATATTTAATTCTAAGTTGTTTTTAATTGATGCAATCTTCAATCGTCTCTAATAATGTTGAATAGAACAAAATATCAGTTCAGAAACAACTTAAAAAAAATATAGATCTCCATGTCTTCCTTATTAATTAATTCATGCAAAGTCGAAATATATATTATACAGCCGACAATTGTATCGACGATACAGTTGTCGACGATCAATAGCAAGATACATGTGATCAATCATCCATATCAACAGCATATATTAAGATTTTCATGTCCACGTAAGATTTCCGTCCAAAGTAACAAGGATTAACGGCAGAACGGAAAATTCAAAAAGATGACATGTTTATGGACGAATAATGTCAATTCAACTTGTGTAGGGATGAAAAATGAATTAGTGGTAAAGTATAAGGACAAAAATGTAATTATTTCTAAAACAAACGAGTTATAAAAGATTTAGTAGACTCAATGTACGAATATTTTATCTACACCTCTAATCCAAGCATATATATAATTTTATTTTACAGCTCACAACTAATTTTCACAACTTAACCATTGCTATATAATTAATTTAATGAAATATGTAACACTGAGCCATTGTACTTTAAAAATATATTTATCCACCTCAACTACATTTAAACATATGCCTTTATATTTAAGGGCTATTATAAATAAGCTCGTTATGGATTACTTACTCATAAAGAGGACCAGACCAAAAACTCTTTTACAAAAAAATCTAGATAAAAGTCCAGATGTGTGTATAAGACTAAAATTAAAGATTAACTTTTTTTTATAACTTTTTTTTTTCTGAAATTTTTTTGGCCCCGTAAAATACAGTAATATTTACAGTGGTTGACAGTAATATTAACTGTATTACTGTTTAACATAGTCATATTCCTATATTACTATCTAGCATAGTAATATTAACACAACGACTATGTTCCATAATAAATTATTGTGTAATACAATAATATTATTATGTTGACCAGTTAACAAATGCAAACATAATAAAAATCCAAAAAGAATAATACTATTGTGGTCCCTAGTAATATTACTGTCGTTGACTGGAATATTATTGTAACGACAGTAATATTACTGTCAACCACAATAATATTATTGTGTTAACAATAATTTTACTGTCAACCACATTGATATTTCAATAGTAGATAGTAATATTATTACGTTGACCGATTAACGAATCAAAGAAAATAAAAGAGCCAAAAAAAAACAAATACTGATGTGGTTGACAGTGACATTATTGTGTTTACGGTAATTTTACTGTCAACCACAATAATTGATGAAACGTGATTGGCCATACAATAAATAGAATAAATAGGGATATGGGTTATATCAATATAGGCTCTACATATATGGGCTTTCGAGGTCTAACGGGCAAGAATAATATCTTCCCTTGACGGATCCAGTTCCTGAGACCTGCTTAATCTGCAAAACACGAGTGCCAAAACACGAGTGCCAGAGGGTGTTCTCCGGGACATTAGCACTTCAAAGGTTAAGTTAATCGGAGTACAATCATTAGTGGAAAATAACATGTAATTATATAAGAATGTATATGTAATTACCCAAAAAAGGTAAACCTAGAGATTAATCTAAGATATTCCATTTATACTTATACCTTACGAGCTCCAAGGGTTCCATCTAGCCACGTGGGAGGCTTGTAGTAGCCTGGACTATTGCTTCCTACCTACCCTACAATTCCACGTGGGAAACCATCGCCGCTCCCCTATCATGTCCTACCAAACGTCCTTTCACGTCAGTCCTCCGTCTCCTCATTATCTTTAGACGAGGTTAATACTCTCAGGCGAGATCAACCCGCGCACACCCTTCCTAGGGCGAGGTCCTTTGCTATTTCCTCGTACCGGAGTGGGCTGATCATGTTAGTTGACATTCGTTGCGCGAGGTTATAATTCCTGAGACCTTTCTCCCAAGTTGTCAAGTCTACAGGCTTTCCGCTTTGTTCGTAACACCCTTCGCCCTGTTGTTAGGTCTGCTCCTCACATGAGCGGTACAAGCGGGCTTCTTTTATTATTTGGGCAATGCGTTTATGTGGAGGCAGACTAACCCAAATCACTTGGGCCTTGTGTTACTAGAGGCAAACCAGCCCAGATCACCTACTCCCACTAGTACACCTTGGCAAAGACAATGTGTAGTTTGGTCCAATAAAGGACAAAAGGTATGTTGTTGTAACGTTTTGCATCTCAGCCTCTCTACTACCCCTAGGTCGGTGCGACAAGGCCGAAGCGAATTGTCGTGGCGAACTAAACCCTGGGTTTCATTAGGAATTGGTGGGAAAATTCGATCGTGCCTTATCCCTCTAGTCCGTTGCGACGAGATCGGAACGAATAATCAATAAAAGCACCGAGGCTATGAAAAAATCAGATGCACCTACTCCCCCAGTTCGTCAGGACGAGATCGAAACAAATAG